TCAAATTTAATTTTAGAATGTTGGAAAAGTGGATATTAAATATCATTTAGTTTTTATTTCTATAATGTTCTTCGTGTTTCCATCATTTTTAATAACTCAACTATGGTTTTCGTCATGGAAAAAAGATACTGTCATGTATTAATCATGGTGTTAAAGATATGTATTAAATAAAGTTATGTTGAATTAAAACACAGTTTCTTGGGCGGGAATGTGAAGGATTGAAGAAAACCGAAACCCCTGCGGAAGTGTTAGTATTTGCGTCAGTCGTCATCCACAGACAAGTCAGATGGCACTGACATGCTTTTGTGTATTAATAATAAGAATAGTTCATTATGTAACACATTCATATAGAATTTGTGGTCAAAAGCACACCGTCTATGCATTCAGCTTCAAGCGTGGCTCATTCAGTCAGAATGTATCATTTGTTTGATAAAAAAAGTAAACCGTCTTTGGAAATGTTTATGAACACATTCATTTATGCGAAAGAATTAAATGAGTTTAATAGAGGTTTTCCATTTTTTTTGTTACTGCTAGAGAAATAGAGATTTTACTTTAATTGAGGTGAAATTATTAGATATACTGTCAAAAAGAAAATATATATATATTTTTATATATTTATTATTTTTGTGTCATTTACAGCATAAGCCTATTATTAAAAAAATTATTATTATTTATTATTCTTATTTCAGAATTCTATTTGTGTGCATTTATTGATGAATACTGAAAATGATCATCTCAATGCAGTAACTCATGCTGAATCATATACAATAAAACAAGGAGCGTGTATTATGTAGGGTCCATTCTGATTGATTGATAACTTTGAAGTGCCCTTTATTAGGCAAGATCAATTTTACGTTTCGTCATGTCGTGTGGTCGATCAAACCTAAAGATCAAAAATCTCAATTAAGGGCCATGGGACAAAAGTAAATGTTGCATTATTTCCAACTATATTATATTGAAATGTATTAGTAATAACAACAATTTCACTAATACTGGTTTTTATATTTCATAGATAGACAGGTTAACGGATTCATTAATTAATTAGAAATGAAGATATGCGTCAATGTCATGTTGTTTTCCTGCTTGTTCACCTCCTCTTGTAATAAGACATGGTGCATCAAATCAAAGGTGATCATGGGCAGACTTTGGCCCACAGGTGTCTGCACAAACCTGAAGCCTGGTCAACCAGTTGTAAACCTGCTGGTTTATAGTATCTGTGGCTAGTTGCAGCATCTCACAGATGCACGTGTGTGCTGTGTTTCAGGCTTAATACATGTAAGGTGTGGAGGCTTCTAGTGAGCAGCCACTGAAATAACAAAGACTCTTTCTTTTTCAGGTGAAGAACAAACTAAAACGGTGCTGCAAGATGCTGAGGATGAAAAGCAGTGAGATGTGACCGCCAACATGCTAAACCCCCTTCTCTCCAGCTGTCTCAGTGTCTCTCTCTCGCTCTCTCTCTCTCTCTCTCTCTCTCTCTCTC